TCCCACAAGGACTCCTCTTCGTCTGAGCCATGTGAGACGCCGATCCCCCCTGTGGACGCGTACGGCGGCCTGCCGACCGTGATGCAAGTTCCGGCCCCTATGCCGGAGAAGTATGATGGAACAGGGGACTTACGATTATGGTTTCGGCGTTACGAGAATTGCGGCCAGGCAGTAGGATGGTCAGAGGGGGCGATGGCGGCCCACCTTGGTGGCTATCTTGCTGGCCAATTCTTTGAGTGTTGGGAGAAGAACGCTAAATGTGGCCCCTATCGACAAGGGAAGGCACTGTTACTCGACCTCTTCGACCGACGTGTGGCCGATCAGTCTTTGGAGCGGTTCTATGCAACAAAGTGGGACCGCAAGTCCAAAATTGGCCTGTTTGTGACGAAGCTCTTTACGGCCATCGATGAGTACAACGCCACACTGCCCGAGACCGAACAATTATCTGACAAGACGAGAGGGCGTATGGTATTGGACCGCCTCGTAGCCAATGTCTCCGGGGGAGCGAAGACGGCCGTGAGGAACAAGAAACCCTCTACGGTAGCAGATATGTGCAGGATTGTAGAGGACCACACTCACTCCGAGGACACTCAAGAAAAGCCAAAACAACCTCCTCAAGCAGCTGTGGCCGCAGAAATGATCCTTCCGGATACTATGAGAGCATTTACTGAGACTATGCAGGCGGTCATCCAAGAGATCAAAGGGTTGAAGACGACCTTCCTGGGCGATGCCCAAGGAAAGGGGAAGGGGGTGAAAAGACCACCGGTGAAGAAGTGTCCTATTTGTCAAGGTGGCCATTATGTCTTCCACTGCCCGGAGAAGAAATATGAGAAAGGATGCTTTCTCTGTGGCCAGAACGAGCACAGGGTACGTAGTTGTCCGCAGCTGAAGAATAAGGTCTCGTCGGGAAACGAGGAGGGCGGCCGCTAAGCAGCCCGCGGTCGCCTCCAGAAGATACGGTTCTCTATCCTATCGGTGGAGATCGAGGACTATTTCTGCTCACCGATTTTATTTCCCCTCATGGTCAGTGGCGAGGTTTATTTCGTGCCCTGGTGGACACTGGCTGCTGTGCCACCTTGGTATCTCTGTCTCAGCTGCCGGAAGGTCTCACAGTGCAGCCTGTGGATGGATGTCAGTTGCTGACCGTAGACAAGTCCGAATTTGCCATTGTCGGCACCGTTAATCTTGATTTCTTTGTGTATGAGTCTGCGGAGGCGGCGACAGCCTCTTATTTGGCCCGTCGCCAGGATTCTCCCAAGGGACTCCGATGTACCATGTCTGTGTACGTTTGCGATTCGTTGGCCTTTCCGATTATTTTGGGCCATGACTTTTTACGACATTTTGGGTTCAACGTGCTCTACGAGCAGAACCCGGTAGAGTTGAGGAGTAGTACGGCCCGAAACGCGGGACCGGCTGCTCCATATGCGTTCGACTTGGGCTCAGCCAATGCGCTGAGATGGGAGATGGATACTGTTCGAGTGGGAGATAGCTTTGCCGTGCCGTATGGCGGGACCCAGACGACATCCCGGCAGGGGAGGAGTCTGATGGGGAGGGCGGCTCGTGACCCGAATGAGGATTCCGGTCAGGGCAGCCTGTCGCCGAGGCAGAGGGCAACCGTCTCTACTCAGACAGAAAGACGTCGGGAGTTAATTAACTGGGGGCGAGAGCTCCTCGAGTGT